GACATTATGCCTCGTCTGACCAACCCGATGCTGCAAAACGCGCCCGAAAATTCTAACATGGGCAACATTGACATCTTTGATGGCTTCGGCAATGCGGGCATGGCACAACCTCCATCTCAGATGCAGATGCAGATGGATACCGACTACGAAAGGAAATTTTCCGTTGCCGATTACGAAAAGAAGTATGGCGTGTCCGACATGAACAGCAACGGCAGTGAGGCCAATACCATTCCTGCCACGTCTGCCAGTGCATCATCCGTTCCTCCAGCGACTACTGCGGATATGAATTCGCCTTTTGCCAGCAGTTCGCCCGCCATTATGTCTCCACCAATGGAGTATCCCCACAACGGAATGAACGACTATGGATGCACGCCGATGCCCGATATGGTCATGAGTCCGGCCGGCCAAAACGGATCGGCGATGAACAGTCAAAGCAACATGAACAATCAGCATCAACACCAGCAATCGCATCACATGATTCAGAACCACATGACGCCACAGCAAATGCAGCCCAATATGGGCCAGCATCACATCCACAGCATTCAGCAAGGGCAGAACATGGGCAATATCAGCCCACCATCAGTTCAGTCCCAGCAGTCGATGCCAACATCACATCCTATGGGACCAGGCGGAAACAACCTCATGAATTCCATACCGCGTCAACAGCCGCAGCGCGCCAGTAGCTATGCTATCCCGCAACAACCTATACCACGCACCGTTGGAGACTTCCACGCACTGCAGCGGGCCAATTCCGATATGCCTGGTCTCTCCGGCATAAGTACGGAGATGGATTTCAATACCTTGCGGTGATGTCGTCTGTAAGCGTTGCCAGCGTGTATTCAGATTGGGACACCTCGAACACATCGCTTTTAGTTGTTTTTCACTTGATTTCTTTTCTTTGTCAGAAGCGCTGGCTATCTCTATCATGTTTTACCATTTTCTAGATCTTTGCTCTTTTTGCATTCATTCCACCATCTTCGGGATGGGGCGCGGGTTGACACCGCCGCCACTTGAGGATCAGCAGGGACGGTAGCAAAACAAAAAAATTAGGTGCCTTGGGTTTGGGGACTTATGTTGCGAAACATGGACTTCTTGTATAGGCTTAGGGTCATGGACACTCTCGCATCTGCCGGTTGGGGCATGGGAACAGGAGTTTTCAAGGCGTTTGAAAGTGTTTGCAACGTCAAGAGGAGGGAATTAGGATATATGAGCATGGCCGACATGGGAGCGGGTATTTCGGCTACGGCCGAAGCTTGGTTGCGCAGGCAGCGGCATTTCTGCCGACTCCCATGATCGAAATGAGAATTAGGAACTTGTCAAGTCTGCAAGCTTGCAATATTAGCATGCGTCTGCCTCTAAGGAGACTGGATAGACGAATTGAAGACATTAGATTGACTTTACTTTGCCTTCGCCCTCGTGGTGTGGCCCCATGTGAATGTGATTGCTATGGGTTATGCGGTACATACTAACCTTGCCCCTTCCCCCGGCTTACTCTGGGCTAACATGAGATATAATGCTTTAGATTCACGCTGTCTCGTCACCTCACAGCGAGCAAAACGTCAGCCCACAGCCTCGCAGCCCATATATCTCTTTCTCGTGCTCGGCGATGCGTATCAAGTACCCTTTTCACCACCGCGGGAGACCACTTACTCCATGGCTCCCATACCCCTTTATAGTACCCGTATATTATCTTCGTCTCGCTGGCTCCTTCATCTTGATCGTCATGACTCAAGTGTGAGCATAAAGAACTCATAGAGCAGCGGTCCGCTTGCCGCGTCTGGAATGAAAGCTGCTCATCCTCCTGTTGCTGTTTTCTATTGGTCGAATTCCTATTATGGGCTGCCACTTGAGATTGGATACTGATCGTAGACCCAATCTGGCAAAGCGTCCTCTCCGCTTGTTCAACGTCACCGGCATCGAGAAGGGCAGTCGCCACGCCGAGCAAGATTCTGCAAGAGAGCTGGTAGTTGCCTTGTCTCAAGGCCTCCGTCGCGGCTGCGGTGTATCCCCTAATGACGGCGCGAAACTCGCCCCCGTCCACGTTGCCGAGGAGTCTGAGCAGGGAACACCGCATGATGAGGACATCTAGGGCATGTTCGCTGTTGAACCCCGCCTCAGTCTCGAATTGCAGACATATTACGGCAAACACACTCCTCAACGTCTCAAGACGGATCTCTTGCGGGAGGTCTCTAAGTTTGGACCATACAACGCTCAAAGGGTGCCCATCGCCTAGAATCTCGCAGTGAATGGCATGGATGTACCGGATAGAATACTCCAACACCTGGATATTGCCCTGCAATGTGAGGATATTCACAAGCATGGAATAATAAAACCGCGGTTCGCGAATCAGGATGACGTGCCGGAAGGAAGCGAGCACGCGGCGGAGGGTGCGTAGGCCCGTGGGGATCTGGTTCCGTTGGAGCAGGCCTGGGACTTTTCCTATTTCTGTGAGGGTCTGTACGACGTGGACGAAGTCGTTTTCGCAGAGGTGTGCGTCGTCAAGGACCCAGGTGCCGGTTTGGAAGGCGGAGGTGTGGTATGTGCTGAAGAGGTGGAGGACGTTGGACTGGATGTCTGTGTTTAGGGACGGGGAAGGGGTTTGGAGGGAGGGGAGGGGAGTGATGATGGTTGGGGATGCGGAGGAGGCGTGTAGCACTGGACTTCGACTTGGGGACGGCGAAGGTGTTCTGCAGGTGATTTTACGCTTCAAGGTGGTGGCGGTGGTACTCTTGCCCGGTGTGTGTTTTCGCTTGATAGTAGTGTTATGCAGGTCGGGTCTGCGCTTGAGGTACTGTTCCACGCGGTCCCAGTCGACGTCCTGGTCTTCGATGCTGAAGCGCGAGTCCTTTCCTGCCGCTTGGCGCTTTCGCTTAAGTTCTATCATGTGCAGGACTTCCGGCTCTTTGAGCTTCTTGTCTAGGCCCCATCGAACGATGCGGGATTTGAACATCCTTTCTCTATAGAGGGACTTGATGGTTAGTTCCCATTCAAGAGCCCGAGCGACGAAGAGGAAGAAAACATATCTACTTCTTCCATTATGAGGAGGTTACAAGTAAGTAAATATCAGCTCACGTTGCGAAGAAGAAGTGGTCTCGTTCCATGATGGCCTTCACCTCCTTCAACGATTTGCCCTCGCTTTGGTAGAGTCGGGTGATGGTGGCTTGCATGACTTTCCAGACTTCTTCCGTGGCGTACGGCGGGCTTTTGACTAGGCTGATGCCGACCGTATCAGAGCAAGCGTTTAGTATTATATCGTCGTTGTATTGGGCGGCGGCGGCCGTCGCCGGTGCAAACATTGTCACACCCGATTCTGCGTGAGGGGTTTCACGATGTGCAATGGTGGAAGACATGGGAGATCATCCACTGTAGGGCTGAAAAAGAAAAGCGAGGGAAGTTGGGTGATTGGGGAGAAGAGCCGCGTTGTTGAGAGGGCTAGGAGGAGGAGAGTTGGCGAGACGTGAGCTCGTAAGTTGCTGACGGTACGAGATAACGTTGCCGGGACCCGGGGGCAGAGCCGGGCCCCACGGCCGAGCCGCATCCAACGTTACCACGTTATCTTATTGGCTTAGAACAAAAGAACTTTGCATTTACTAGACCGGCAACATTCGGGCTGGTACCCTGGTCAATATACTACGACTGCTTCGCGTCTTATTGGTCCTGGACAGAAAGACGTTGCATGCCTGTTGGAAGGATAACGTTGGGGGACAATTTAAAAGGCTGAAGGATCCGACAGATACTTGAAGTAGGCTAGAGGGAGGTGTCGAAACACTTTGCTAAGTCTCATCAACCCGGAAAGAAAACCAACAGTGCCTGCATGGATATTTCAGCAGCAGTATACACATGCAGTCGCAAACATGGCACTGCTAGTGTGAGCAGCAACCGACTCTAACTGTATTCCAGAAAAATGATGGTTTCGAGTCGGCGCCGATTGATTCAGCAGCTTACAGGGTAAACTTAGGCCTTGTCACCAGATGCAAAGACTATGCGCCCATTTCTTTGGATATGCCTCGTGAATGCTTCCGTGGCGTCTTACCAAATGCAGAGACTCTTAGCTAGGCAGCTCGTACAGCCATAGAGAAAGAGCTGATTGGAGAAAGAGAGGCTTTGCAGGATATATAAGAAAGATGTAATACGTAGGTCCAGATGACAAATTTGCTTCGGCGCCGAGAGAGTCAGGCTGCTACAGCCGTACACTCCAACCAGCAGGTGGACTGCACCTGTACGCCTACTATGAATAGAAGCACCGCATGAATGACAAGAGTGAATAGTGACGAGGCATGTCTCTCCGATCAACGCTCATGGGACAGCTCAAGACAGTGATAAATATCTTGTGAATTTTGTGAAAGAGTTCAGAAGAAAAGCATTTTGTGTGCGAATATGCGTTATGGAAGGGAATACTTGGGCCGCCGCGATAGCAATCAGTCCGCTCTATCCGAGGGAATGGGACAAGTGGACTTTAAATTTATTCAGATGTATGCCGGAGGTCATAATGTAGCACTGTATAATCCTACAGAGGCAGGCTGTCATGAATCCACCGCTCATCAGTCCCAGAGAAGGAGACCTATGAACAGCTGGCAGCGAGGCTGAACACTGTTGACCAATGTGGTGATGCTCATAAATCGGAGGTCCTAGGAGAGAGTGTCAGCAATGACTTCGCCTTCACTTATCTGGCCGTTTCTGAGATGAATCTGCAGTTTCGCTCGGCTCAGGATGACTCTTGGAGTTGATATACATAAAATATTGAAATGAGGCGGAGCGTAGGATCGGATAACACCCAAAGTGTTACCATATGAAGCCATAGACTGTTATCCGTAGATCTAGAACCCCTTCCATTTTCAGTATAAAATAAGGAGAAGATGCACAGGGTCGTAGGAGAAGATCTGGTCCATCATCCTCTCATCTAACTAACTCCAGTACCCGAACCTCCATAAAAGCTTTTTCCATTCAAGCATTGAACCCCTCACACCTCTATCTAACACCCAAAAAGACCTAATTCCAAGATGCGCTACACCGACATTCTCCTCATCGCCACCACATCTGGTGCCATAGCAGCGGGCCTCGAAAACCGTGGTCTCTTAGCATGCGTTGATACCGTAGCAGAGCACAGATCCGTCACCATGGACCTTCCCACCCTGTCCGCGACTGGTATCGACGAGGACGACATCCCAACCATCACGAAAGCCTGCGAGTTGCCCACGCTCACAGGTGTGCCCGGCTGCATCTTGACCTCGTTCACCTCCAGACTGAAGTCTTGGACGAGCGCTCACAGCAGCGAGCTCAGCGCTGTCTGGTCCGCTTGCAAGGACGAGGACTTTGTCGGCAAGATTACTTCTCTTGCCGAGAACTACGGCCCCGTTTGCTCGGCTGTAGCAGAGTTCAGTCATTCCCTCGATGAAACTACAGTGGTTGCGACTACGACCGCTACCGGTACTGCGGCTACTGAGACTGGAGTCGCAGCTACTGGCACCAGAGGGGCGGCGGCTGCTGCTACGACTAGCTTGCCCAACGCTGCGTCGCGAGAGACGGGGATTGTTATGGTTGCTGTTGCGGCTGCTGGAGTTGTCTTTGCTGCTATTCACTTGGAGAGACTTCTTACTTGATACCCGAGAAGGGGAGCAACGCTATCGGCCGTCTTGCGATGCGATACATGTGGCTGATGTTGAGTCACATTCCTTTTGTATAACTTGACGCTCATTGAAACAGGAGGAAGATATTCGGAGTGGATTTAGTGCATCATTCAATTTGTGATAGAACCGGGAGGATGCACGAAGTGTCATCTTGAAGCTTGCAACAGCTTTACTTTGATTTCAAGGTTGGAGAACGGCCAATGAGATATATTGTCTTTTGAAATTTGTATCCTTCTTTCCCTTTGTGTTTCCTAACAATATCAATACTCTTACGTCTTGATTTGCTTCCAAGATGTCCAGCTTTGTTATTCTACTTTAATATCGATGTTGCCTTCCACAAGACAGCATACACCCAGGTTGGACATGAAGTCGCACATTTTTGACGAGCGAGATTTTGTGTGACAGACAACATGTTTGCCGCCCAACACCCCTGTCTAGCTCCTCTCCTGCCTGCCCAATTCGAACAAACATCTATAGACAGAAACCCTGCGCCCCCGTGAATGTCCCATCTCTACACCGCCGTGTCGTTCCCCCCTCTTCTCCGTTCGTTTTCCACGGATAATCCCAGTCGTCACTGTACCTCTCGATCAGCCGTCTACCTCTTGCGAAGAACATCCTGAGTTCCAGTCATGTTCTGAATGGATTAATCTCTGTCCCGCTGCAACAATGACGCCGAGACTGCACGAGCTGACGGCAACTCAAGTGCTTGAGCTGCTACAAAATAACACAGTCACGGTGGAGACATACGCGCGGGGGCTTCTAGACCATGTCAAAGAGACTGAGAGCATCGTAAAAGCATGGGCGTTTCTTGGTGAGTTTGGAGTTTTGCGAAATGCAGAATCTTCTAATATGTCCTAGACCCTGGGCTTGTAATTGCTCAAGCTCAGACTCTCGATCAAGTCCCTGTCGGCGAAAGAGGGCCTCTGCATGGTCTTGCCATTGGAGTCAAGGACATTATGAATTCCAAGGGTAGGATTAAGCTTCGAGGTGTAGTCTATCACTCACACAAGTTAGACATGCCCACGGAGTATGGTTCTCCCATTTATCGAGGGTATCGGCCAAGTTCTGATTCCGCTGCCGTCGCAATCCTTCGCGCCTCGGGCGCTCTAATCTTTGGCTCGTATTCCTTTGTTCGCTGTTCATCCAGACTCTGACTACGCCAACAGGCAAAACTACGACGACCGAGTTCGCTATGACAAACTCAGGACCTGACACTACAAATCCTTGTGATCCGAAGCGCACCCCTGGAGGGTCTTCATGCGGATCAGCCGCAGCTGTGGCGGCGTTGCATGTTCCGCTCAGTCTCGGATCACAAACCGGAGGAAGTCTTATTCGCCCAGCATCATTCACGGGAGTCTATGCTCTCAAGCCGACCTTTAACACTATCTCGACAGAAGGCCAAAAAGCAATCGCGCCCATATTCGACACATGTGGATTTTTTGCTCGATGCGTAGAAGACTTGAAGATCCTCGCTGATGTTTTCAGCATCGAAGATGATGAGCCTGCAAGGGATATGCTACTGGGAGAAATGTCAATTGCTCTCATGAAGACTCCAATGTGGCCCACGGCAGGACCCGGTACTATATCTGCCATCGAGGCGGTCACAGTAATCCTTCGAGAAAGAGGAATCAAGGTTGAAGAGGTCTCATTTCCACCTGAAATATCGGATCCCGAGGAACTAGATAGACTTCAACAAGTCATCACTCAAGCTGGAGCCCGGATTTCCTTTCTCCGAGAATACCGAATTGACAAGGACAATCTGGCCCCAGAGATTTGCGAGATAGTCGAGAACACCGCCAGAATAACGCATAAAGAGAGGGAGCAGGCTTCTGACAGGTATTCTCACATGCGACGCATCATCAATGCCTTGGCCAGAGGATACACAGTCATCCTCACCCCTAGCGCAGAAGACGAGGCTCCTGTTGGGCTCGGTGACATGGGTCGCGCGACCTTCAACACGATGTGGACGGTTAGTGTTCCTCTATACCTATCAGTCACTCTTCAGGCTGACGTTCTACAGGGGTTCCATATGCCCGTTGTCAATATTCCTGCTTTTTCTGGAGCCAATGATATGCCCGTGGGCGTTTCACTGGTAGGCCCGAGGTTCCGAGATCAACAACTTCTTACGACGAGCTTGGTCCTCGCTAGAGCCTTTAGAGCCCGGGCACCGAGGCAGCTGTCAGATCCCAGTTGAATACAAGTCGGCAATCACGGCAAATGCTAAGACTTGAGGCGAAAAGTCCTCTAGAACAAAACCTACTATGTTGCTTTGTCTATCCCACCAAATTCGGCCGACAAGATGGACCGAGGCGACTTCATGTCTAAGTGATTTGCTTCTTGTAACCCTTTTGGGAAAAGAGGAAATTCCAATTAGACCATCATGATTCGACAATGTCCGCACGAGACATATCGCCAAGTTGAGATAAGCCAGGTTTCACAGCCCAGGCATGTCTCGCATCCGTTGTCTCAACGCCAGGCTGAAGTGCGAAGGCACGTGAACAAATAAGTCAACATACCCACTTCCTGGCACCCCCCTGTTTCTGGCACCACAAAAACGATGGGATCACAACCCAACCTCCTCATTACTATTAACTATTGATCCTCAACCACACCCACTACAATACAGCTGCCAGCCTCACTAGGGCATTCAGAGTCGCTGGATTCAGCCGTGATAACCTCCTTTTCACCCGCTTCGATTTGAGCCCGATGGATATCCCTGATGTTCGCGAACTTCGTATTGGGATCG